GGGCGGCGGGGGGGCAGAGGCAGGCCGGCCTGGGAGCGCGGGTGGAGGTGAGGGACAAAATTTAATGTCTGGTGCCACTTGCATTGGGTGTTATTCACAAGATAAATGCTAAAGGCCACAATTTACTCAGTGTTCGGATAGATGGCCTCAAGCGAGATTTTGCTGGAAATCCTCACCCACACGCAGCCAGCACAGAAGTCACGCGGGTGTTTGTGAGCCTCAGACAGGCGGCCACAGGTGCAGACCGGCCCTCAGTCGGGGCTGGAAACCGCAGTGCGCTCAGAGACAAGCCAGGTGTGGTGTCCGGGGACGGCACGGGCGGCAGCTCTACACGCTGGAGTCTGGGGGGCGAAGACCTCCGGAACGCCATAAACGAGCGAGGGGTTAAGCGCGAGCTCAGGCTAGGTCCAACATCAGAGAGTTCACACTGGAAAGAAGCCAGTGAGTGGACTAGACACGGCGAAGCCTTTGGTAGAGGGTCAGGCTGTCGGGGGACCAGAGTTCACGAGGAGGGAGAGCTTCTGAATGTAGTGAATGTGGAGAAGCATGCTGGCTCGTAGCGGAGTCAGGGAGGGGACCGCGGACGCAGGGCTCGTGGACAGGCATCGGTAGTCTGCACTAGAGAGAACCTTGGCACCGTCGCCATGCAGGATATAACCATCAGTGAACACTTTTAGCATCTGGGAAATATCAGTGAGAGGACCCGCACCCACCCCGCAGCGCAGGGTCACAGCAAAGCCTTCAGGCAAAGATCCCATGCCCCCAAACACCAGCACCATCACCAGGGAAGCAGCAGGAGGTGAAACTCTCCTTCTCTCATGTTCACCGACGCCACGCCAGGGCGCTAGCTCCAAGGGGCTGTGTGCCTCACCCCCATGCTGAGTCCAGCCACCCTTGGTCGCACGAAGCGGAGAGCTGTCTCCTGTCGCCGCTACAGGCCCCATCAAGAAGCCCACGGGAGGAGGCTTCTCTACAGTCTTTTCAGACAGTGGATACATTTCAACCATTTTTCCCAGCCTTGCCCTCCCTTTTGTTCAAGCTGTATCTCCTCCTGGGAGTGGCTTCACAGCCCCCCGTCTTGGCGTTGGAGGTCTCACGCTGAGCTCAGTGAATTCTTATGAGGCACTGGCCTCCCATAAGACCCCTTGCCTTGCATTTTCTAAGATCTTCTTTCACGGGGTGTGAGCACCCACTGAGGGGCCACGCGGTTACATCACCTGGGGAACCCGCTGGAAAACACAGCTTCCCAGCCCATCCCCGGGGAGACAGACGACGTAGGCCTCGGGTAAAGCAGGGAATCTGGGTTTATTTCCAATACGCCCAGTGACAGTGACAGCCCTCCAGGTTGGGAACCTCTGGTCTCACCCGCCCTCAAAGGAGGAGCACCTGCGCGGGCAGGTTCAGCTCCCACTCCACCTGGCCAGGCCACTGCTGGACAGGCAGCTCTGGCACGTCCCGCTGTTCCAGGCCAGGGCTCTCTTCTAAGCACTCGACTCCTTCAGCGGCCGCAGGGTTCTTGGACTGGCCGTAGCGGTGGACGGCGATGCCCCCACCCCAGTCCGAGTCCAGGCTGCAGCGAGGACGGCCTCCGTGGGCCTTGCCTGCTGCCCTCCGCCATTCCTCCCCTGGACCACTCCAACCACCCACAGACCAGGGGGTCTTCTCGAGTCAGACGCTGGGTGGGGTCCCTCGCTTGCTTGCCAAAGCCCTTACTACGGCCTTCAGGGCCCGACAGCCCAGGTCCCCTTGCTCATCCCCTTCCGGTCTGCGCCTCCCCGACCACTTGTCAGAGGCTCCATCGCTCCGCGCAACCGCGCACCTCGGACAGCTCCAGGCACGCGCGCCCGCCCTCAGGCTCTCCGGCGCCCCCGCGCGGGTCCCCCCCGCCCCCCGAAGAGTCCTCCGAGCTTCCTAGAGCGCCCGGAAGTGCCGGCGGCGCGGGGCGGGACTTC